CTTTTGAAGAATGTTAGAAACCCCCGTCTTTAATCTAGATTTAGGATGTAGATTAATAAGTCGTTATTTATCATCTCGATTAGCCGGATTGTAACCGCCATTCTATTTCTCTTATTGGTTAAATTTTATTTTATGCTTTGGGCTCTCTCTCTCTCTCATGATTTTTTTGGTATATGTAATTTTTGGGGTGTTACACATTTAACCAAACACCAATCCTAAAACTTGATGAGTGAATTGTGGAGAGATAAATTATTTTTGTATTCATTCCCATTAATAATATTGAATTATTTTTATTTTATATAAAAATCTTTAAAAATTTATATTGTAGTGATAAATTCATGTAATATTCTAATGAATTAATAGGGGGAGGTTTATTTTACAAACCATATAATTCTTACAAATCTTACAAACCGATCTCAATCATACATGTAGATAATCAACGATGTGGATTAGATCGGTTCCTAAATTTACTCTCAACACGCATTTTATAACCTCCTCTAAATTTCAAAATAAACAAAATCAGTGGTTGAGATTAGATTTGTAAGAGTCACATGGTTTGTATTTGAAACTCCCCCCTAATTTAATATATGTTGAAATATTTAAAAAAATCATTAATTAAAATACCCATTTTCGGCTTGTGGTTTCACCTCTTAACCATTTTTCTTCGAAAATCACCAAAATATCACTAGGTTTGTAAGTGACTGATCCACAATTTACAGAGAGGTCTAAGTGTAAGAAAAGTTTGTGAACTAGGTTTCTAAATACAGGGACCAAATCTGTAAATTAATATAATCACCTTCGCAATTTTATATCTATTTTACACTTTGACACCTCATAAATTATGGACCTGTCATTTACTAACATAGTGACATTTTGATGATTTGTGGGAGAAAAATGGCTAAGAAGTAAAACTAAAACAAAAAATGACTATTTTAATTAAATACTAGAAGAGTAATTGTGTAATGCAACGAGACACATCTCGATTTTAATGTTATATTTTATTTTGTCTCTGTCGATGTTATAATACAATTTTATGTGTTTTTAAGAAAACAAATGATTTTATTGTTGAATAAAATATAAATTTGAAGAAAACAATAATGATTTTATTCTATTGGACCTCAATGATTATCCTAATTATATTTTAGATTTTTATATTTAAATGAGATGTTTATCATGTATTTAATTATGTTTATCTGCAGTATTTACATGAATTCATATATGAAGTTTTAATAAGTTGTACTTACGTACAATCTACTTGCAATATTGAGACTTAAGTAATATACATTAATAAATAGTACTTTACGCATATAAAGTGGTTTTTAAGAGTTTTTGTCAAATGTTTTATCATATAACTAGAAGAGTACTCGCGCAATGCAGCGAGATACATCGTGTTTTTAATATTTCATTTTATTCTTTATCTC